CTTACAGAATCATTTGAAGCTACTTGCTATTCAGTTATGCCTTAAATGATTAGTTAATTATTTCATGGACAAAAGGATATAACACAGTGCTATTATCAAATCTGAATATTCAGGAGGATCAAAAAATGTAGCTTTGTGAATAAGAAGGATTTTTACCCGAAAAAAAAAAAATTTTTTTACTTCTCACTTTTTATACTGTTCCTCTTTTATCTGTGTAGGAAATACAGTTAACTTCTTTTTTCAACTTTTGTTAATAAATGAGTGATAAAGTTAACTCTAAATGGATTTGTGAGTAGGAGGCAAGAGAATTTGAAAGCTGGGTAAAGAAGTTCCTATGATTCAAGAGAATTTGAAAGCTGGGTAAAGAAGTTCCTATGATTCACCGAAGCACTGGTTTAATCTGACACTCACTGTGGCCTTGAATGAGTCACCTTCCGGGACTGAGATCCCTATCTGTAAAATGAGAGTGTTACGTTACATGTTTCCTGAGATTGATTATTCTATAAGCTACTTATAATTCAAGTAAGTCACTTCAATTAACTATAAAAAAATAAATTTCATACAGACCCTCAATGTAAATATGTATGACTATTATTTTATATATCAAGTACTCAATTATATATATCAATTATAACTGGGTTCAGGTTTATTCAATGGCAAAAGCTTTTTTGGCAAAGGGAGGGATTGAAAAAAAATTCACCAGTACACAGTGCCCTGCTTCAGTCAATCCAACTAGTTTAAGAAACTCCACCCATTTCTGGCTAACATCAAATGAGACTTGATACTACTCTGCCAGAAAATAAAATCCGTAGTATCTAACCAGGCACCAAAAAACACACAGTTTTGTTTTGCTTTTGTTTTTTGAGTCAGAGTCTCACTCTGTTGATCAGGCTGGAATGCAGTGGCACATTTACGGCCACCGCAGCCTCGACCTGCTGTACTCAGGCAATCCTTCCACCTCAGCCTTCCAAATAGCTGGAATTAAAGGTATGCGCCTAGCCGGGCTCGGTGGCTCAGCCTGTAATCCCGCGCCTTTGGGGGGCTGAGGTGAGTGGATTGCCTGAGCCCGCGGGTTCGAGACCCGCCTGGGCAGCGAGACCTCATCTCTACGATAAATAAGAAAATCAGCCGGGCGTGGTAGTGCATGCCTGTAATTCCGGCTACTTGGAAGGCTGAGGTGGAAGGAT